TAAAAATATATCTAAAATGTAGTATTTAGCAACCATAATTATATTACATTGAAAAACACAGAATATCATAATATGAAATTAAAAAAATCGCTTCAATTTCTACACAATGGTAGGTAGTCAAACGGTCTTAAGTCTGTCTGTGGTTTAAACTTTGTTTTATTCAAATTGTGTTTGACAATACATCAAAGAACATGTTTTATAGAACAGAAAAGGAAACAAAAACAAGTGTCGAGACACCTATGTAAATGTGTTACCTGCTTAATAATCAACTTTTCAACACTAGCTGCAAGAATGAAGTAATATGAAGTCTGCCTTTATAAGAGGTTCAAAAATTTGACGAATCTCGAGGGGAAGTTTGGTCTTTCCTGCTCCTGGTTTATCTCGAGAAGGAAGAAAGGGGATGGGGTCCCGCCTGGTTGCAATGCCGTGTTCCGTTACATACACAAAATGCTATTTCGATTGTACATACCTCCCCCGACGTGCGATATGTGTTTCCCAGACACGCGCCCCCGTCTTGTTATGTAGCTAAAGTTACCGGAACACACCCGTTCAATGTTTGTTATGATATGCACATTCATTGACGAGCATTGGTATTCGATCAAGACTTTAGCAAAGTATGTTTACAGTCAGATCGCAGATGTAACCCCATACAAAACACTGTGCTTCCACTACAGCGCTAAATGTTACAAATACAAGCTGTCAGCGCATGTTTACGCTTCTGATTAGTCAATTTTCTTTCTAAACAGGGTTTCGGTTGTAATGTGTGTATAACAAATCTGTGAAAATAGTCTTAACACGTAACAGTCAACGCACGTTCTGATAGCGTATTGTAGTAATGGTAGGGGCGTATCGATAATATATAGGTCAAACATCTTTATATCGTTTTCTAAGACAATCCAATATAAAGAAAATAAGGTTTTAATCATTTATGTCAAAACTTTGCGTTTATATTGGGATTGGTATACATGTACAACAACATGCACAATCTCTTCTTCTGGCACTTGGTTTTCATTTACAAATATATTATTATTCATATTCTCTATTGCCTCGTTTGCTGACGTTTTTGAACATAACAGGTGATAGAAAATGTCAGTTTCTTTCGAAAACGCCGTGCGGCTTTGATGCATTTCATTTGCCCATTGCCTCGTGAGATATCTTGAAAATTACACCATCGTTTCAATATTTCATAGGCCTGCCGTTTATCGATTTTCATTTCAACATTATACTTTTCTTCGTATCCCGTGACGATTACAGTCAATGCTAGTAAAATATTATTTTTCAAAGGTTTCCATCCATTTTCCAATATTCAAATAAATTCTTAAAAACGTGTGTTTCCACGACTGCCTCTGGGAGGATCGGAAGATATTCGCACGCAACAGCGTAACGCTACACGCTACACCTTCTTCCCTGTATCGCACGGTAGATACAAATTAATATCCGTCTCAACCCCCTTATAACTAAATCAAAATGTATGTTGCAACAGTAAATTTCTTATAGCTCCGGTTTGCGGAAATTGTTTATGATTTCATATTTCGTATAGTTTAAACTTATTCCGGATGTATAACCGAACAAACCGATTGGTGAGAGTTTGAGTGTCACGTTCAGTAAGCTAACCAAACATTCTAATGAAAGCAATTTCAAGTAATAGCAAAACAGGAAGATAGCTCCCTTGTCGAGAGCGTGTCAAATTCACCCGGGCGCTTTGATGTTTCCTAGTGTTCAATATTGTAACAAACATCCCGTGTATCTCGATCATAATGACATTCTCAAAAGATACCGCTAACAGCGCCTAAATTGTTGAGTTTTTGGAAAGGAGAAGTATATTAAAAATGCATGATGTATATTATATTTTTCAAGTCCCATCTCGCAAATTTCAATTTATTAGAATCTTTGTCACCCAACTTCCGGTTTACCGTGCTTAACACTCGTTTATCACGTTTATATTCAACCTGCAAACACATTTTCCAAAGGTCTTCGTGACTTCCATTATACAAAACTTGTTTGAAATTATATGGAATACAACAGGTACACGTGACCGCTACATAAAAGCAATCAATGAGCGTTATTTCTCAGCAATATCGTTTAAATTTTTAGCATGACATGCGGCATACCCGCGCGTTTACAATGAGACCATTTCGTGTGCATTGGGGACTGCACGCTTTAAGTCTCTCGTCACGATTCTAAAGACAATTGATCATTAGCGTTAATGAAGGAACAATTTCAAAACAATCGGTTTGTTGAAAGATATTTTTTATTTAGAACAAAACAGTCTCTCATGCTCAGCTGAATTTGCTGAAAATGTGTTTTTGAATTGCCTTCATTTTGTTGAGTGAATATTTTTATGAAATGGAGTTTGAAAACTATTAAATTTCGCTTCTGCAATAATACCGAATTAGGTCGTGTCCCTTGTGTAACGCCGTATCGATGTTGACTGTCACGGGGAACCATACTCGATCATTACGCCTGTTTACTGCTTTCCGATCCAGAACTGTTTGATGAACATTTTTTATGAACATAGCCTTGGTTTTCAGCAGTTTTAAGTCAAGGATTTGCTTCACTACGCAATTCTTTAACATCAGTGACTTGGTTTTGTATTATTTTATGACACCCTTTTGAATAAAAATTGTCAATATATATCAAAGATGAAAACGCCCTTCATTTCCAGACCAGATGAAGCTACGTATATAAACATTTATTTTTAATTACTAAACAAGCAACACTGCCAACATAGCTATAACTACCGATTTGATCATTGAAACATTTGATAAAATTTCAATACATCCTGCCCAATATATGGGGTTCTGAAGATATAACATGACTTTGCTCTTTTTAATTTTGCATACATGAATTTCATTTAGTCCTTTTTTTCCTCAGGTTCCTGATTTTTTTGCGGGTAGTCCGGTTTCCCTCCACCACACAATCGTGGCACATCGTTAAATGACCATAGCTGTGAATAGGACGTAAAACACAAACAATCCACGGAGTCCAATTAGAACGACTTTATATGATAGGAAAGGTTTAACATTGTATAATTGCCTGAACACATTAGAGAACCCGACTAAAAACCTTACAATAACAATATCACCGAACCGTTTAGGACAATCATTATAAAAGGCACTCTGCACTGAAGGCTGGTAATGAAAATCTCAATGATATTGAGCCGTCTAATCCGAGCCGATCATACTTGTACATTACCTTATTAATTTAAAGCTCAGACATTTTGGCGTTGTTGGACAAAAGACGTTACCCTCCCTTGATCTTACAGGTCGCTTATAGACTCTGAGATAGCGCTGTAGATCATTATAGACACAATAACATGCAGGTTATTAGCCGGTTGAGCGGACAAAGTGCATGGACATTGTAATACGGCCCGGCGCGGCTCCGGTCGCCAAAACATCTAATCAGGTGTGCTATATAAGTAAAGATATGCATATATGATATACAACATCAAAGCGTTCATGCCCCAATGATCAGCATTTATTTATGTACGTTAAGACGTGATTAGGACGTAGAATTCGCACAACGTGTATTATTTAATCAGAGATAGTATATGACATCATTACTGCAGAATACAAAGATGAGAATGATTGTGGGGTTTTGTTGTACCGATTTTAAAGAGACTATGTGTATATTGTATATATCCAATAACATGTCTCAGAAAGAAAACAGACATATTTCTCAAGTCAAACCATTGGTTTAAAGCTTGACAGTTTTAAACAGTATCATAATATTGTTGCAAAGGTATTTCTGATTGCATGTACATGTATTGTTGTCGATCGATGGGTATAAACTATAAAAAAAAGGTTCTTTTATCTCGTCTGGAGTACAAACAAAGTTTATGACATGCATGTTCTCCTTAATGCCCTTGATTGACCTATACCAGAGTAAAATAAGCTCCCTTCTTATATGTTTTCTAGCATCACAACCCATTTTTTAAATCAAGCCTCGACCGTCATTTTACAAACTCAAATGAAGCTCTATCTGTCGAACAAACCTTCCTTCTCCTCCTCTGACATAAATCTTCAAATTGTTGAAATTGGCCAATATCCTGTAAAGAAGGAAAAGTAGATTGACAAGTGTATCAAGCTTCGTTAAGTTAGATTTTAAAAGTTGATTTAGTTTATAACCCTACAGTAAGAAAGTTGTGTGCCTGAGAGTTGTAACTCTTAACGCAAAATCACATATGATTCGTTTTAATTTCAATAAATCAAGAGAGTTTTACCCCCAATTTTTTTTTAATTGATTTTGATAACGCTTTAATGCTGAGTTTTCGTGTGTTTGGGAAATCTTGCGTTGATATTTCAGGAGCATTTTTCGAAAGCGACGGTCATTCACAAATTTTCACGACGCACACGGCTTTGTAGCTTTGTGTTGTTGACAAAATGGTGGGCATTTCACTGTTTACACAGTGCGATTGACGAGGGGGTCGGCGGTCTACCACGCCCCTATCACTATCATCCTCTAAACACAGAGAATATATTACACATCCCTGTGCCGCTATTCAATAAACAGACCAACCTGAGACTGTCAAATGAACACTCAAATCATGTAGAATATTGTACAGGGTCAAAACGAATGGCGGTGTACAATACCCGCTCGGCACTGTGTAAATGTAGGGGGCGTCACACAGCAGGAAGGCAGTAAATGGTGGGGCGTGGTTGGAACAGACACGGGATGAATACGAGGGGGCGGGACGCTACCCGGAACAGCATTCTACCTATAAAACCTAGAGCCGGGTTAAAAGGATACAACGATTTATCATTTACCGAAGTAAACCTAGAGGGTAAAAGTGATTCATCTTGTCACTCTTTTTACACAATAATAATGTACTGCTAAAACAAACGATTCATTCTTGAGATTTTCGTTCGAGGTAATTACCGTTTATACAAATATATGAATGGAGATTGGTTCTCTCCGCAAAGCATCTTTTGCTGATGTACACGATTTTGTTTGTTTCGTTCCGTATAAATCTTACCGAGATTCTATTTTTCTCGTTACAGGGCTGGAGTGCGCGTGCACAACCCAGGAATGCATGGACCGGAAGATGACAACGTGTCGGGCGTCGCACTACTGTTACAGCGAGACGATCGATGACCCTCTGTTTAGCCATCTGACATCCCGGGGATGCATCGACAGCAGTACGCCCTTGCTGTGTGAAAACCGTCGCCCTGCCAAGCTGAGGGCCGCGTGGCCAGTTCTTCACTGCTGTAATGATAAAAGTTTCTGTAACAAGGACGTGGTGCCCACACAGCCGCCACGACCAGGTAAATATCGTGCAATGTTACATATTGAACAACATACACACATAGACTTAATTTTACACGTCTAGATGCAAACAGTCTGCAGAACTCGGTGCGAGTAGCCTGTAACTTGCAAAAACCCATGCAAATACACTAAGCATTACATGTAATTAGGTCGGAATGTAAGGACAGGTAGCAATGACGTTGTACAGTATGATATAATTTACAAAACACTTGCACTTCTGCGTTCTTGCAACTTTATTGACAAAATAGCAATACTATTGAACAACAGGGTGCAATCAGTATTAACCATTGCACACCTAGTTACAAACTACAGCATACACATTTAATAACTAGCAAACACGTACACCAAGGCTTATTATTTTTATATATGCAATGACGCCGCGTATTGTATAACTTCCGTGTAGGCAAAACAAGACCAGTATTTGGCAACGTTCTTGTATTTTCACCATCTCCAGCTGTTCGAACAAATTGTAGTAAATTGCAACGGAATACCAAGTAGTATCTAGGCTATTTAGATTTTACTTAAAAAAAATATCTATTTATTTTTGTAATACAAATAATGTTGAATTACCTTAATGCGTAGGAAGCAAGTGCAAGCGAAAACTTCTCATACTCAATTATCAAGTCGTGTAACCAATACACGGAAAAGATATAATGCATTATAATACATGCTTACTAAAGTCTGCACAAAGTTTCAATTCTCAAATATCAATATTTTCAAAATTAATAGTATTTGTCATTAGTTTCCTTCACACTGTTAAACATCCAATTCACCGTCGATACAATCATGGTAGAACCCTGGTATTACCAGCCATCACACTCTGTACTGTGTGAAACAGTTAGCTGCTTCAATTGTTAAAAGAACACAGGACACTGTTTGAACTGTTTTAACGGACTTATTTACATAGGAATATCTTTGTAAGTTGATTGCATTGCACGTATTAAGGTAATTTCCGAGGAATCGCCAATTCCCAAGCTTTGCCATAATTTTGACATTACGTAATGACAGCAGGGCTGATGGAGAGGCATTTTACCACACAATGGAAACGTTGATTAAAGTGTAATAGTATGATCCGTATTAACTGTCATGTCAACCCACCCTTTTAAAAGCATTGGTAATTAAATTCCAATTATTAGCAAAGAAGGAATGGCTATTGTAAGCGTGTCATACCATGTATATACATTACATCGTAAAAATGACTTGTCGGTCTTCGTAATATTCTCAAAGAAATTCGAAATAACTCCAGTCATCATGGACATGTTGTAGACAAGACTATGGGGTACAAGATGGTAATGGTTGTAGTTTTAAAACAATTTAATGATGTACGAACTATTTTAAATAATTTGACCGTTTTTTCATGAATTAAAATGTATGTGTTTTCAGCTATACCCTCTAAACATGCTGATGCATGACGTCATACTAATATTTGTCCTGTCTCTAGTTCCGTTTTCCTTTCTTTTTACAGTACCGAAAGTTGAAGAACCGGTGTACGAGGATTTCAACACTGAGCCTACACCACAACCGGCCGGATGTCCGAACCAGCATGGGACCAACACCTCAAACAATATGATCAATCCTATCTACATAGCAGTACCGGTTGCTGGAGTCTGTGTTCTCCTTGCTCTCATCATCTTCGCTATGTATCTCTTGCGCAGGCGCACAGACTACTACGAGCGGTACCAGTATCCAAGGACCGTCTCGGTACCCCAACATCATCAACATTGCAGTGACGCAAAGTGTGCGAACGCATGCAAACTAAACAGGTGTACGGACAGTGAGCGATCGTCCTCGGGCAGTGAAACAAAATTATTCTTATAGGGTTGGCTGATGTAATCACCAATTACTAAACACATTTTACCGGCTACCCCACAACACAGTCTGTCAAAGTGTTTGACACGCTCACCAGAACGCTTGACACCTTACAAAATGGTTCTGGTTATATGACATGACTAGGGGTTTAAATCTGACTTCAGACTGTGGCCTATTCAGGGAAGTGCTAATACATCACGACGGCCAATATGTGATCAGCTAAAATACGAAACGTTTGTTCCCAACAAACAAGTGGAACGAACTACAGCTGGAGTAAGTTTTACTGCCTCGACTGAATAGGCATGTATGTGACTGATATTTTGCTAGAAATGCAATATTCTTTCTGGTTAAATGTGAAACATAAACTAAAAAGATGGCGAATTTTCATACAGTGACATCAAATTTTTCGATTTTTCACGCACATTTTCAAATCCATTTGCTACCGGGATCGTCCGGGCGGCACCAAAAAACCCACAATAGTCTTGATAAGAAACAATTGTGCAATTGATTAATTGAAAGAGGCTATAAGTTAACCCCATATCCACGTGATGTTGCTCGCTCAAAGATGCAACATCTCGGAAGTGAAGGTAACTTGGAAGACACACAAGAAAGGGTAGCCAACGCGGACAATGTCTCATTTATGTATCAGTGTACATATGTCATTTCCGGTCACGTGTCCTGCATTAATCTAATCGTTAAATATGTTCCATAATTATTTATAGAGAGTGAGGGTGAAACGCTAGAGGAACGAAATACGGGCGACGTGCACAAGAAATAGAATGAAAGGGAAAATGTATGACAGTATTTGCAGTAGAGATGTTGTGCTGTAATGATGTATAATATAATGAGTGAACGGATATTGATATGTGATGTATGGAAAGTGTGTGTCATTATATTGAAGGGTTGAGAGATAAGTGGTAGCGATGTCTTACGTAAAACTAGACGAAGGATAGTAGACGAGTGTCAATTGTGAAACAAGTGTGATGAAAGTGACTCTAAATTGTCATTGTACTCCATCTATTATGTCAAGTACCTGCTGCTGTTACTGTGTACATAACGCCGATCTCTAACTAACAGCCAGGGCACTGTGTTTACCTCTTATATCTGTTTGTCGTTGTTGTCCTGCTGTCAGCCACAAATCAAACACTCAAATGACTCCGATCACGTCTCGGTTAATCGGAATCTCGAGAGACCCGAGAATATCGTTGATCAAATGCTCGTCTTGCTAACAGATAACTTGTCCAGGAACATAAAATCTCCTTACAAAAGCTATACAAATATATGGAAGAAACATACTTCATCATAACTTCATGAAAATCCCATGATTCCGGGACAAGATGGGTTTCGTTTTGCAATCAAATCTGCACTTTAAATGGCATTTTGAACGTAATTTGTTTACTAACTGTTGAACATTTTCCAGCTAAGCATAAGAAAATGAAGGCAGCAAAGCGCGTGGATGTTTTATTGTTTTGTATCGTGTTTCTGGCTCTTCATGTAAATATAGCATCAATGTAATCCTCAGGGTAAGCGAATGTCTCAAACACACATCTACTGCGCATGCTCCGAACTTAACAGATATTGAGAATAGAATAATATTACATAAAACGCAATATCGTATATATTGAAGAAATCAAATCAATCAAAATATAACTTAAGTTGCTGTAATTTTATCATTGGAAAATTTCTGTGCGTACTTTTGACATGAACGAATTGATATCAAAATATTCGAGAGCAGAACAGAGTTCGAGCTCGCGCAGTTTAAAGGTATAATGTAAATACATTCACACAAGAAAAATATTGTACATTTGTAAATAAATATATATCTCGTGATGTATATAGTTTTAAGTAGTTACTACGGTAACGCTATTTGAGCGGTTGCCACGGTAACACATTCTACTGTAAGTGCTTATATCGTCTTGTCTTTCAACTGCTATTATATAAGGGACAATACTATTTTTGAATTCATTTACAGTTATTTCATTGGTCTATGGGATTTTTTTTAATTTTATTTTTTTATTAATATAGTTTGATCTGTTGCTGGACTAGTCAGTTCTATGACGTCATTGATGTCGGACATTTAATCACTAGATGTGAAATATATAGTGATTTTTTTCCTGATCCCTAACAGATATTTCGAAAGGTTCAGAAGCACATTTTTTGAAAGAAACAAACATTTTCCTCTTGTAATATTGTTTTTTTATACACGAATGCAAATTTAGATTAATATATAATTCAGAAATGTCGGTCGATTTCATTACTGGAGTATAGGTCAAATTAGTGCATTCTATTAAAAAAACTGCGCCTTTTCATCACAGCAACATAATTAGACCATAAATACAAATGTATACAGAAGATGTTGTATCCTTCAGCGATACCGACGTGGACAAGTGCAATGTTATCCCGTACAAGTTTCTCTTCATAAACTAGAAGGAGTAGAATCTCAAAAAATGATACAATAATGTTAGGCGTTATTGGACAAGCACCTGTTGACATACAGACTAAGTAGGCCTAGAGGTTGTCAATCATACTAACAAGTTTTTTTTTTTTTTTTTTTTTTTTTTTTTTTATTCATTTTAAAATAACTCTAAATCATAGAATTAACAAGTTTTTATCGAAAACCGACAGGTCGCAAATTTCGGCTTCCACTATTTTTTTTAGTTTTTTAAATTTATATTTTTATAGTTTTATTAAACACTTTGATTTTCATTTCATAATTCATCTTTTATAGGAACAAAACAGCTACGGCGTCTACAATTACGTGGTTTCCGGTTGTATGTACTTCCGGTCATGCGTTGTATTATGTCCGGAAGGTATTATGCTGACGAATGTTTGATGGAGTCCTAGGGATGGATTTAGTTATTATTATCATTATTTTTGCGCAATAAGCGATAATCAAATGAAACTATTGTGATGGATGGGGAAAGGAGATTTTAAATAAAATAAAATATACAAGTAAACTTTTACGTGTTTTATTTTTTTCTTACGGAATTTTCTCCATTGTCATGATGTTCAATTACATAGTGTATATCGGCATTGGAAGTTAAAACGATGTCAAATACGTGCTTATAGGTTCATTTTGCACGACCAGTGTAATATGTATGTGATTATAATCATTTCGCTAGTTTTTCTATATAGATCTGTATACAATCTACATTTAGCAACTGGACGGAACTATTTGGAAAAAAAGTGTTGAATTATAATATGATACTCGGTAACTTATTTGTGTCGGATGAAATGGGCTAAGCAAAAAAATATATTAAACGTTAAAAAATGCATGAGACACTAAACAATGCCTAAATACACATTAAGTACACAATAACACATTATACTTTTGCGACCTGGAGGGTGATAGAAATCTAGCTGATTACTGATCCTCACAGAGAGACGGTCAGGAAGACAAACAAAAGAAATTCGTGCGAGGGGCGAAACAAAAGATTGTATCAACCGCTTTAGAAAGACGGGACTGTAGGCCTTAAGTCGATCATTGTGGAGATAAAACATAAACACTAACACCGTTAGGCAGAGAGTCCCGCTACAACAGTTATCTGCCCTTTGATCTGCTCTCGTTGCACGGGTTCACAGATATGAATAAACCAAAATATGTTCTGCGGTACTTAGGTTTCATATTAGGCACAGAAACATATTTCTACAATGATAAAGGGCAAACGTTTGCGGCATTCGGGAACAAAAATTCGCTACAATGACATGCGGTCCAATGCAGAATGCTTTAAAATAACGGTATGGGGAATATCTATAGCTCGAAACACGGTTGAATGCGCGGGGCGTGCACCGTTTCAGTGTCTACTGCGCATACAATGGTGGTTCGGTAACGGCCATTGTCAGATGACACAGGGCATTGTTTGGGACACATTGTTTTAGGGACCGACAGGTGAACTAGGGATCGATGACGTAAACACTACAGCGTAACATGCAGACACATGTATGGACCCCATTACGTTACAAGCACTCTAGCGGAAGAAAACGCTGTAAAGTAGGATATTCATTTGTGAAAAATGTATTTTTTTTAACATCCAATGTAGCGTACAGATCTTTAGAGAAGATCTATACCACTGACGGAAATATACGACAATGTTAATGAGTACACATCACTTAGTCACTGCCGTTTGATGTCCAAATCATCAACTAAGCAGTTTTTGATTAAAGAGGGTCAAGCCCAATGGCACGGCTCTGTGCCCAATAAATCATTTTCTGAGTTGAATAAAAAAAACATATACACGTTTATCTATATATAAATTATTTAAATATTTTATAATTAAAGTAATATAAATAGATAACGTCTTTTTTAAAATTGATATATATTTCAATTGCGTTCATTGCCACCGCTTTAAACAATATCGAAGATGAATCTTCCTGTCGCACAGGCTTTATGCTAAAGTTGATTAACGTTCTAGATTATTTCAGCTATTGTTGTTTTCGAAGATATCGACATGTATATAGACCCATTTCAAGCTCGTCATACTTTTTTTTATTCAAAACATCATCGCGCTGTCACCTTTAGTTCTTCATTGCAAAGTTGCAAAATCTTACGACGAATTTTTTGTTTCGTTTCCAAATCCATAATGTAAATATTTGTTTGATAATGCACAAAACGTTATCATAACATACATATTATTTACAAGTTAAAACACGAGGTCGAAATCTGAATTTGGCTGTTATAGTTTCCAACGAAATTAGAATTCAACTTAAGTAGATAGGACACAAAAACGCAAAAGGTAGCATATCATGAACTGACACAAAAAGGGGGTGAATTTAGGGGAATTCACAATCATCGTTATAAAATATCTCCAAACAGGTTATTTGGTTCACACATACAAATATGTAAGCATTGGTCAATTACGAGTCCGAACCTAGATAAAACAGCAACTGACCGTGGCAGCACGTTACCACACGAGTCCAAATCTGGTTAAAAAGCAAATGACCGGGGCAGCACGTTACCACACGAGTCCAAATCTAGTTTAAACAGCAACTGACCGTGGCAGCACGTTACCACTCGAGTCCAAATTTAGTTTAAACAGCAACTGACCGTGGCAGCACGTTACCAAACGAGTTCAAATCTAGTTTAAACAGCAACTGACCGTGGCAGCACGTTACCAAACGAGTTCAAATCTAGTTTAAACAGCAACTGACCGTGGCAGCACGTTACCAAACGAGTTCAAATCTAGTTTAAACAGCAACTGACCGTGGCAGCACGTTCCCACACGAGTCCAAATCTGGTTAAAAAGCAAATGACCGTGGCAGCACGTTACCACACGAGACCAAATATAGTTTAAACAGCAACTGACCGTGGCAGCACGTTCCCACACGAGTCCAAATCTGGTTAAAAAGCAAATGACCGGGGCAGCACGTTACCACACGAGTCCAAATCTAGTTTAAACAGCAAATGACCGTGGCAGCACGTTACCCCACGAGTCCAAATCTAGTTTAAACAGCAACTGACCGTGGCAGCACGTTCCCACACGAGTCCAAATCTGGTTAAAAAGCAAATGACCGGGGCAGCACGTTACCACACGAGTCCAAATCTAGTTTAAACAGCAACTGACCGTGGCAGCACGTTCCCACACGAGTCCAAATCTGGTTAAAAAGCAAATGACCGGGGCAGCACGTTACCACACGAGTCCAAATCTAGTTTAAACAGCAACTGACCGTGGCAGCACGTTACCACACGAGTTCAAATCTAGTTTAAACAGCAAATGACCGTGGCAGCACGTTACCACACGAGTCCAAATCTGGTTAAAAAGCAAATGACCGTGGCAGCACGTTACCACACGAGTCCAAATCTAGTTTAAACAGCAACTGACCGTGGCAGCGCGTTTCCATACGAGTTCAAATCTAGTTTAAACAGCAATTTCAACTGACACAAAATCAGTGTCATCACCTGATCTCAGAGAATCAAACGTTATAAAAAGGAAAATTACGACGTAATAGTAATCGTGCTTTTTTAAAACAAACATCGTGTAGTGTGAGAAAGTATCGGTCTACACTGAGTGTGTGGTGTATGATTCGCTACCCGTATATTTCAATCTCACAGTCGTAAACTACGACCCCAGGCAGACACTCAGGTGCTGTACGTTGGATTCATTTCGGTAATTGCTCTGAAGAATGTGCACGGAGAAAGTGTCATTAGTGGGCCATGTGTCTGGAGGGACCACCATATGATACGAGGCCACACAAGCGTCTTTGACATACTGATCCCAACAGTAAGAATAAACGTTAATTTTACACAGACTACTCAATATAATGTGAGGTCCCCAACTTAGACAAATATATATTTACATGATTCTTAATGTATAAAAAAAACCCACCAGATTATGTAACATGATACTAAAAACCTGATCACTTTCGCCCAGTCAAACTTTCGCCCTTCGCCGGTAAGCCAATATTCACCCTTTGCTAATTTCACCCCTTTAATTTAATAACTACATATGGATGTATATGATATCTTTATACATTGTACACTACAGATATTTGTTGTATTGATTGATTAGCCCTCATTACGGAGGGTGAAAAAGGCTAAAGTAAACGGTAAAACTGTTTTTCTTTCTGATGAAAAAAAATGCCGTTATCAATCTTGCATCAATGTTTTAGATATATATGTATATTTAGCTTGTTGTGCTCTGACACCAAGACCTCTATTGCATAAAGATTGGAAAAGAGTGTTTTTCTTCTTCTCAAGATACTGGATCGTCGTCAAATAATGGCTCACCCGCAGTGTCGTGTCAGCCCATCTCGTAGATACGCCTCGGTTTTGTACAAAGTACCAATCTGAATGGTAGGCGCTGTCACTGTGAAGATACTCGGACTGATAGGCAGCTTTCGGAGACGTTTTACGGCCTACGTCGAAGGCAATTTGTGCCGCTAAAATGTAGAAAGTCCTTCGTTGTCACTGTCATGCAAGCTCAAGAACAGGCTAGCGATTTATCTGATCAAGAATACCTTTAATCGGTATACTTTCAGACTAGTTTCCAAGGCTAGTCGCCATTACTTAACAGGATCTCACGTCTGACATGCGATGTTTCACTGGCGGTAATTGCAGTCATCAGGAAATAGAAATTCTTTGCTTTCATGAAATTTCATGACTGAAGAAACCAGCACTGAATGTGAATGGAAATAATTTGTATTCACAATCCAAATATAAAGAGAAGCATTGTAACATCGCACAAAAACGTCCAATCTGATAAAAGTTGTTTACCATGAGATTTTTGTATTTACTTGTCAATGACGGAACACTCAGTGTTTATCTGTCAACATATCAACGACTTAATTACGACAATTTTAGAAAAAAAAAAAACATTTCTGTCTGATTCCTACGACGGTGCTGACACCCGTAAGAAAATTTCATTCGCATACAAAAGATATTGTCCCTCCCCATGACGATATATCTCACTTTCGCTGGTCACCAGCATTTCTACTGACAAACGGAGTCGTTTAGAAACAGTGCCATTCACACTTGACATTGGGAAAGATGGTCTGATAAGATAAATCTAGTGAGATTTTCTCAATTTGAATTTAAATGTGCCAATATCACTCTCGACAGATTGGATGGTAA